AGGGCGCAGTGCATAGGGCGCAGAGAATAGGGCGCAAGGCGCAGAGCTCAGGGGACAGAACGCAGGGGGCAGAGCGCAGGGGGCGGAGGGGGCAGAGGGCAGGGGGCAGAGCGCAGAGCGCAGGGGGCAGAGAGCAGAGCGCAGGGGGCAGAGAGCAGAGCGCAGGGGCGCGGAGCACGTGTACCTATCCTGGCGTGGTGGTGCCTCGTTCCAGCGCCCTCTCCATGCCCGCTCCCTGCACGTCCAGCATGTTGTGATGCAACCATATGCATTCACGTCTGTCTGCCTCCATTAAGTGTTCGTGTGTTGCATGCGTGGTATGAGCGTGTGCAAGAATTTGTGCTTTGCGCGGTTTGGATTTCCTGAGTGTGTGTGGATGATATTTTGCTTGGGCAGATATCTGAAGTGACAGCTCTACTCAAGAGCTCACCGACGAGCCAAGAATCGTCGCGATCGGAGCAATATCAAGAAAGTTACGAACGTTGGAGTTCGTATGCTTTCTGTACTTCGGTTGTGGCGACTATGGGAAGTTGTGGGGTTGACTCAATATGGGGTACAGGCTTTTGGGGGTTGGGAATTCGAACCCATCACTGTAGAATGCTGCCATGTGGTTGGGTGAAGCCAAACCAGGTTGGCAAGTGTGGCCAAGTGGGTTGAGGTGGATGGCATGAGTTGGGAAAGTGACAAATGTGAAAGTGGGGTTGCCTATGGGGAAGGAAATTGTGTGGCATGGGGTTTCCTTAGGTTGGGGACTCCTTAGGACCTTCCCTCTCGTCCTCCTCTACTCTCTCACCTGGTTTAGTGCAACTCCAACTCTCTTGTGTGGAACTCTTGTGAACTTGTGAAACTATTGTGAGTGAATTAAGTTTCTATGTGGCAGCATACCCCCTGGTGCGCCGAGAAGCATAACTCAAGATTTACTCCACCTTTCGATACGATTCAAATTGGGAATGATAGCCACAGACAAGGGCTACAACATACTCGAGTTTGAGACGATTCTAACAGTGCACGTTTCGTCGACAACGTTTCTTGTGAAGTCGCAGTTTCTGTCCAGAATTTCAAGCCAACGATTTTGTGAAATTTAGGCTCCTAATCTTCACAGACTCGATCCTTAGTCTCTAACAAGTGGTATCAGAGCGATTAAGGACTTTGTGGAGAGTCTACTGAAGTGTGAAGACCCTCCTAGACCCACCATGGCCTGTGGGCGTGCCTAAGTGGAGTTCTGGAGGTTGAATGTGACTTCCGCTAAGGGGAAACTCTGCCGAAATTTCGTTGGCGCCGACAGTTGTGAAGATTGTGTGGATCTACATATTGACCAGCAAAAGGGGGAGCTGAAACCTCTGATTGGGAGCAGAGGAGATGAATCAAGGGAGTGGAGATGCAGCTGAGAAGAGGAGTGAACCGCCACCATCCAAGATCGAAGCTTTGGATGGCTCCAACTACGAGGAATGGAGCGGGCGGATGCGGAGCGCCTTCAAGCGCTACAAGCTGCTGAAAATTGCAATGGGAGAGGAGAAGATGCCGGGGGAAGGAGACGCCCGCGATCGGTGGATTGAGAAGAGCGCGGTGCTGTACGACTTGATTCTACAGTCGGTCAACAACGACATGTTCCAGCATATCAAGGATTTGGTGGAGCTCGATGACTCGGGACCGAAGGCGTGGAAGCTGCTACGCGACGTGGTTCAACCTAACACGTTGCCGATGGTGATCGTATTGGAGAAGGAATTGGCTGCCCTCTCCATGCGGCCGGGAGATGATGTGAAGCCGGTCCTTGACAAGATCAAGGACACCTATGCGAGGATGGCAGCGGCGGGCAGCGAAGTGTCGCAGATGCAACAGTGCACCAAGATCATCTCGGTGCTTGACAACTCGTGGGACAACCTCATCCCCACCCTCAACGTTCAGCAGGACAAATGGACGCCTGAGTGGCTACGGCAGCAGATCCTGCAGGAGGACTTCCGCAGGCGCCACACTGGAGGTGGTGCTGCCAACAAAACTGCTGAGGGGTATGGAGCTGCAGGAGGCAGCAAAGGGAGAGGGGGAGGGAGAGGCCGAGGCCGTGGGAGAGGCTTTGGCAGAGGGAGAGGCCGAGGTGACTACAATGAGGGGCATGGGAGCTCTGGTGGCAGGGGGAGTACCCGAATGGAGGGTGCGTGCTGGTACTGCAAGAAGGCTGGACACCCATGGTTCAAGTGTTTCAGCCGGCCTGAAGGATGGGCGCCTCCAGGCATGAAGCCGCCAAGTGGTGAACGTGCACGAGGTGGTGCTGTGCAAGGTTCAGGTGCACAAGGTGATGGTGCACAAGGTAAAGTCGACTCTGGTATGTTCCTCATGGTTGAGGACGTGCAAGGGAGTGGGGGTGATATGGGTTCAGTTGGGAAGGTTGTGATGCACCCCCTCACTCACTGGGTGATCGATTCAGGTTGCACGAGTCACATGACTCCACGGGCAGATTTGCTTGATGAGGTGAAGCCCCCTGGGAAGATAAAGTTTGTGGCTGCCGCTTCAGGTGCCTTGCTCCCTGTGATTGGTGTTGGGAATGCCAAGGTTATGGGAGCTAATAGGGGGCTTGTGGGGCTGGGAAATGTGCTGTTGGTTGAAGGTTTATCCGCTAACCTCCTCTCTGTGCGCCGGCTGCAGAAAAGCAAGGCGAAAGTTACGTTCGGCCCAACCTGCTGCCGTGCAAAGCTTGGGAAGTTGCTGCTGTGGAATTTGGAGGAGAAGAGCAGCTGCATCAAGGACTTGTGGCAGCTGCCCATCATCCCTTGGAAGGGGAAACCACCAGCAACGGCAAAGGCAGCGGCAGCGGCTAAAGCAACTGCGGGAGGAGAGGAGACTGCACCAACTGATGGGGCCCTGGATGCAGTCAAGAAGGTGCAGCAGCCACAACAGCCACATGGTGAGGTGCTTGCTGGTGTGGATGCGACAGCTGCATGGGCAAAGGCTTCATCTGGGAGTGGTGAGGCTGATTGGGAGACGTGGCATGAGAGGCTGTGCCATGTGAACATTCCTATGCTGCAGATTTTGGTAAAGGATGGGTGCTTGAAGGGGCTAGAGGTGAAGGGGGGAGCAAAGGAGATTGGGAGCTGCCCTACCTGCCTTGAGACCAAATTCACGAAGTTTCCCTTCAGCAGCAGCACAGGACCAGCAAAGGCACCACTTGCACTAGTGCACATGGATGTGGTGGGCCCCACGAGGGCCCTTTCTCTCTCGGGCAGCCGCTACTTCTTGACAATTGTGGACGACCACACGCGTGCGGTCTGGGTGTACCCTCTCAAGACTAAGGGGGAGGTGGCAGCGGCTGTTCTTAAGGAGTGGATGCCGAGAGCACAAAGGGAGAGCGGACATAAGGTGAAGGTGATCCGCACCGACAATGGAGGAGAATTCATTGGCGCTGATTTTGAGGCGGTGCTGAAGAAGAAGGGGATCCAGCATCAGCTTACGGTGCCCTACAACCCTCAGCAGAATGGCGTGGCTGAGCGGTTCAACCAGACCCTGCAGGAAGGTGCTCGCACTCTCCTTGGGCGTGCAGGGTTGCCGGATCCGTTTTGGGTGACTGCACTGCGGCAGGTCGCCCTTGTGAAGAACAGGGTGCTGGCAACTGTGGGGGACAAGCAGTGGGTTCCCTACACCAAGTGGTATGGGAGTGCACCAGCAGTCAACATGCTGAGAGCCTTTGGCTGTATGGTGGTGTTTCATGTGCCTAAGGAGAAGAGGGGAAAACTGGAAGCTTCTGGGAGATGGGGTGTGCACTTGGGGCTTGCTAAGGATCACAAGGGCTGGCTGATTTGGGACTTGACCAGCCAGCAAGTGACTGTGTCGAGGGATGTGAAGTTCCTTGAGTCCTTGTACTACAAGGAGTGGAAGCAGCAGCAGCAGAAGCTTCCCACTACACCGCTGATCATTGAGGCTGATGAGGTGCAGCGGACTTCGAGGCAAGTGCAGGTCACTGTCTCAGAGGAGGAGATTTCTGGGGTGACTGAGGATGGGGGAGAACCTGAGGTGGAGGAGCAGCAGCAGCAGCCGCAGCAGCAGCAGCAGCCACAGCAGCAGCAGCAAGGTGCTCCACAAGGTGCCGCGCGTCCGGCTGACCGTCCCCGGAGGGAAGTGCGCCCTCCTAACCGGCTGACCTATCCGAGCTTTGGCAAGCCAAAGGTGGTACGGGCTGGGAGTGTGGCTGAGCAGTGTGATGAGGATGAGATAGCACACTGCTACTGGGCAGCCGTCCCTGAGCCCAAGACGTTAGCCAAGGCATTGAGCGGGCCCGACGCTGAGAAGTGGAAGCAGAGTGTGAAGGAGGAGTATGACTCTCTGCTGGAGAATGAGACGTGGGAGCTGTGTGAGCTGCCACCTGGGAAGAAGGCCATTTCTTCCAAGCTGATCTTCAGGCATAAGTACGGACCCGATGGGGAGTTGACCCGCTACAAGTCAAGGCTTGTGGCTAAGGGGTTCCAACAGACAAAGGGGAAGGATTTTGATGATATCTTTGCTCTTGTAGGGAAAGGCACTACACTGAGGACGATGTTGGCAATGGCTGCAAACCGTGGCTGGAAGATCAAGCAGATGGACATAATCACTGCATTCCTCAATGGAATCATTCTGGAGGAGCTGTACATGCTGCAGCCTGAGGGGTTGGATGATGGGAGCGGCAGGGTGTGCAGGCTGAAGAAGGCCATCTATGGCCTGAAGCAGGCTCCTCGTGCATCGTACCACAAGCTAGAGGAGACATTGCTGGCTGGGGGGTTCAAGAAGAGTGAGTGTGACCACAGCCTGTTCCTGCTACAAGAGAAGGAGCAGTTTCTCATGCTCCTGGTGTATGTGGACGACATCCTGCTCTTCTCTGAGTCGTCTGCGATGATTGAGCGTGTGGAGGAGATGCTGGAGATGCAGTTCAAGTGTTCCAAGATGGGAGATGTGAAGTACTACCTGGGTATGCATGTGGAGAGGGACCTTGACAAGGAAGTGTTGAGGTTGCACCAGAGGAAGTACTGTGAGGGGCT